GAAAAATTGTCTTTTAAGTCTTCTCAGTGGCAGGCAGCAAGGAAGGAGGTCAGACCAAGCCTGGCTCTGGGGCTGGTCTGAGATGGTGCAGGGTGATGTGCAGAGCCTCTGTCAAATCCTCCTGTCTCCCTTCTGCTCCTGGGAAAAAAAGAAGCAAAAAGATCCCCCAGAACATGAAGGCTGCTGCACTCCAAAGTTTTTCTGGAGTTATATGCTCTGGCAGAGCCACATCCATATCACCTTGTAGAGAAATCAAACAAGATTCCCAGAAAGAGGCAGGAGGAACAGTGAGACTCATCCTACTTCAACAAGGGAAGGGAGCTGGTGGACATAGCAGCTTGTACCACACTACAATATTTAGATATTTAGATTAGATATTAGGAAAAAATCTTTTCATGGAAAGGGTTGTAAAGCATCGGAACAGATGGTCCAGGGAAGTGGTGGAGTCAGGATGCCTGGAAAGTGTTCAAAAAACACGTGGATACATGGCACTTGAGGACATGGTTCAGTGGTGAGCGTGGTCGTGGTGCTGTGTTGATGGTTGGAATTGATGATCTTAAAGGTCCTTTCCAACCTTGATGATTCTTTGATTCTATATTCCCTTCGAGGGGTTTTGGCTGCAAAAGCCACCCACCCTAAATCTCAGCAGGAGGGAGAGCACAGACATGTTGAGCCACCTGGTTATGGGGGCTCCACACACATGAGGTGCACAGGGGAAGAAGCCACTATCCCCCAGGGAATCTTGTCCTGTGAGTGGCAAATCTGGGTCCCACCACCCATGGGACCTACAGTGGGGGCGAGATGGTCATAAAAGGGGCATGAGAGAGGGAAACAGGGGATATTCAGCCAAATTCCCTCCCAGAGACATGGCTATCCTTTCTCCGAAATATTTTGTCTTTGACCAGTTTTATCTATAGGATACTTGGACTATCAGAGCTGGAGAGGGAAAAGGAGAACATCTCCAGTTGCAAGGACAGGATGCATTAGTTCTGCACAAGGATCTGATCCTTCACGAAGGAGAAAGAGAAATATCTGATGGTGGTTAATTCTCATTCTCACCACCACTCAAAGAGCCTATTCAATCCATTTCCACATAGGGATACTGAATTCCATCACTATTGCAAACCTTTCCCAAGTGTTGCCACTTGAAGTTTCTGAGATGACATTGAGGAGACAAATCTGAAACAAAAAAAGCCAAAACCCATTCCAAGTAGACAGTACGTCATGAAACCTATGCAGGAAGTAAAAAAATGTCATTAATCTTTTCAGGTGAAAGGGACACATATTCCTTATTTATCATCCTGTGCCACATGCTCGTGGAAACATCCAAAGAGCAGGGCATTAGGGACTTTTGTTTTATCGCCTGATAGCTTCTGGATCCAGCAGCAAAGATGGCAAATTATTTGCAAAATTATCAGTGCCTTGGCACTTCTCAAGGGAAACAGCGTGCTTAGAAACGTGGGTGTAGCCAAGATTGACTTCCACTGCATGAAAGGCATTTGCCTGCCTGACCTGACTGCAGCCCACAGCATCATCAAGGGCTGCTGAGCAAACAGAGAGTGAGACGAAAACGCTGAAGCTCCAGGCATCAGCTCAGATACCTCAGCAGCATTTCATTCACCTCGTCTGGGGCAAGGATGAACTTCACTTTGCAAAATTTGACTCTAAGCCCAGCAAGGCAGAAAGGCTGTTAAAACCGACAGTGTGATGGTCCTGGCTGTTAGCACAGCTGACAACATCTATTCCTTCCAGAAATAAACAAAAGACACCCTGTAAAAGGAAAAGAGTGGATTTTAGCCCTTATTATTTCTAAAGATGCAATAAAACTGATGGAAAACTCATTTTTGTTGATGAATTTTGTCATGCTTTATCAGACCAGTTAACCCTGGCCTAGAAGCACACCTTGCATCTGGAAGACCTTTAATATATCAGCATGTCTGTAGGTCTCAAAAGGCAGCACCAAATTCCCGGAAGTCAGTGGGATTCCAAGAGTCCCTTGTCCTTCCCCTGCAGGACCAGATATCACCACAGCAAGGACCCCTGTACGACCCAGAGGTTGTGTTGGTGTCCCTGAGGTCTACAGGGACACCAACCTTCTACATCCCACCTTTACCAAAATACTCATGCTCCCTGAACTTGCTACCTCAATAGTTTCCAGGAGTAGAAAAAACAAGTGGTGTCTGAGCGTCTGCACATAGGAAGCTTTGGCATCGACATCCTTGTAAACAGAGTGTCTTCTCCACCTAAAAATGTACCTGTGGCAGCACTTACACACAATGCAACATTTTTTTTCCTTCTCTGTGATGGGCAGTCGTTTCTTTATGGATTTAAATGGTTCATTCCTCTAGCCAGACCTACCAGGATGACTAAAAGATGACTGAAGCCATAGAGCAAGAAAACAACTAGGTGATAAAATTACCTGACTGCTAACACTTCACCACACAGGAGAAGATTTGGGTTAGCAGTGCTAGGGAGGGGGGGAAAAAAAAAAAGGAAAACAGAAGATAAATAGGGATACCTAAAGCTTTCATTCTGAGACAGGCTGCCTGTGATGCCTGTGCTGGGAGAAGGGTGGTCAATATCTGCCCTGGCTCCATCTGGCAGATCCCACAATCCAAAAACATCTTTCCGGGTGCCCTTGGGAACTCACAAAAGCAAAAGGAATCAATTCATCATGAACACAGAGCTAGAATCTGACACTCAGTACCAAATAGAATTGCCAGGGCCAAAAATACAAACTGGCAATACTGTTTTGAGGGAATACCAGCAGAAGGGCCATTTATTATTTCCCCTGTTTCTTCTGCTCTTTCCCTAAGTGCCCACTTCTGGGCACTGTCAGACTGTGGTGAAGCATCTCTGTAATTCACTACAGCTTTTTATTGAGACTTTCTCAGAGCCAAGGCTGCAAATGCCACTAAGGAAAATGATGGATGCTGCAGGCTTTAGGAAATGAACCATTCTCTGATTGCTTGCTTAGCCGAGCAATTTGCGTTGTGATAGACAGAAATTATATCATCCAGTGTCAATTTGTCTATTCATTTTTCCCTCTCCACATGTTTCCTTTCCTTGATTGAATAATCACTAACAATAATCACAAGCAGCTGGGGGAAGGAAGTACATCCATCAGTTTTAATGTCAGCAGGAATGAGAACTGATTCCTCCAGCATTCACCACAGCTCTGCATCTTCAAAGTCATTTACGTTTTCCTTATACCAGCACTAATATCCAGATTGCATTATCTCTATTACCTACTCCTATTTCAGCTTATAATCTAGGAACAATAGAATGCCAATTGGGAAAATACCCAATTTCAAAAAAATAGATGGTTGTTTCATCTGCTATTCTGTATTGCTGCAAATATTTTTACATTTATGTTTTAATTCTCTTAGAATATTGATGGAAATGTAAGTTTGTAAGACTGAGCCTGAATAAGACAGAGCAGATCCAAGGAATATGATTTTATATGAAGGATGAGGACTGTAAAGGACAGAGCTGTTAGGAAGGCATAAGTAGGCAAATCCCTGGGACTGCAGAAGCTTTTCAAAGGTTGTCTTTGCACAGATTGCTACTGTCAGTAAAAAATTACCTTACTGTGCCCAGATATTCTATAGGCAACAATCCAGAATATGCACTGAATGTTCAGTGATCAAAATACCAAATTTTCAATTTGTTTCACTTTATAACCCTAAATATACTTTTACATATTTCTAAATGATGCTGCATCACCATATAATTCCACAGTGGTATTATCTAGTTTTATGAACTCATTTCTATCAGCTGAACTTCCAACTCCCTCCCTGTTCGGAGACAGGGAACAGCAGAAAATGCAAAATTAGATTGAAGACACAACAAGTGGCCCAAAGATTTCCTTTCACAGGAAACTGTTAAAGTGGTTTGTTTATTCAATAGAATTAAATCATCTTTCAAACACAGTGACACAGACCAAAAAACAAAAATACCCTGATTACTGTTCTAGTTATGGCTTACAGCAATTGATAGGCTTTCTATTACAACCATAGTACAGCCACAGAAACAATAATAAGCAAAAGTTACAGGGTGTAGGCTTGACAACAGAAAGGTGAGTCAGTGGATTAACATCAGCATGAAACCAACATGACTGCCTGGATTTCTCCACCCTCACTGTCACCACCTTATATAAATAAGAAACATGAAACAGCTTTATTTTCACCATAGCCCGAGCTCCCCCGGCGTGAAGACACGAAGTTTTACTCCAGTACTCCCGAACTAAGGATTTGTTTTCCACCAGGTGAAAACCAGGGGCATATTCAACAGGCAGCAGCTGTTCAATATGATTTACATGGGCCAAATGCAGAGGTTTGATCAGGGACCTCGTGGATGACAACAAGGAGGGCCAAGAAATGGAGCGAAAATCATCACGTCCTGTCCCAGACAGAGCAGGGACAGTCAGTTTTCCTTATCTTTAAGGGAACAGGCTCTAATGCACACGTAAGTGTGTATCACTTGGCCAACACAAGGTTAACAAATAGGGATTAACTCAATTCTGCTTGTTTCACAATGCTAAAACAGGGAATAACCAGAGTCTTCACAAGCCACTTGGAGCACTGGAGATACTTCAGTGTCTTGGTCCCTCAGACAGTTTCAGGTAGAACAGACAACCAGCCAACAGAGTATCTGATTTTTCTGGCTTAATTTGTCACTGCTTTACATGCTAACACATTTTACAGTGATTAGTACAGTTAAAAACATACATCAACTTACCCAAAGATCAAACACTGAGAACATTTATGGCTTCTAAATAGAAAGTCAAGCGTATTTACATCTTTCAATCCTTGAAGTGCTGAGGCAGATTTGTCTTTCTTTAAGCTTCCCACTGTGTCCCAATCCCTCATTTCTCATGTTTGTTGTATGCTCAGGGCTTTGGGGAGCATTGGAGGTGCTGACACCCTGGGATCCAGCAGGCTCCCTCACCCTAACCCCTGGCAAACATCAGGATTTCCCTTAAGTTCATTTAAAAAAAAAGCACTTTAGTAAAATTCTCAATTGAATACAATTTTTTTTGTTTGTTTTGAATTCCATGCGGACAACACAGGGATGCCCAGCAGCCTCACCCACATTAGACAGGATGATAATAAGACATAAAATGATAATAATCTCTGAGGGTTTTTGGGGAGAAGCAGGTTATTGGCTTGACCTACAAACATTGAAGACCTGATTTCTCTTTCTACTGAAGCCAAATGCAAATGTTGTGCTGGCTTCAAAGGGAACAGGCTGCATCCTGCCTTGAACACATTCATATCACTGATGAATTCCATGCTGGTATTTTAAAGCAAGCAGAAAAAAACCCTATTTTCTTGAGGCCTGTGATTCTCATACATACAGTAGGGTACAGAGGACCCATGTGTAATTTCATACAGCAATTTACACTACCACGATGAAGTGCTTTGCATAGATGAGCTTGAAAAGATGACTTGATAAAATCTGGAAGGGAGAGTGACAGTCACAACACTTCTGCTTCCAGATGAGCTTGTTCTTTATGCGCATTAAAAACATGGTATTGCTACTGCACCGTATCTAAAAGATATTAAAAAAAAATGTATCTGAAGTCAAGTGAGTAAGAAACAAGAGGCTGCTCTTTCTACCCGTGGTTAGGGCCTGTTTCTGGAGTACATCAAAATTTCCACACACTTCTCTGGATTTCAGAAAAGGCCCTACACATAAATACTGACCTCTTTATTCCTAAAAACCTCAGCTCACTCCAGAATTTCCCAGGGAGCTTGGCCCTTCAGGGATTGCAGAATTTTACTCTTCTTCACATGCTCGTGAAAGCACACTCAAATGCCCATTTCAGAGCTCTCCACGTTCGCCACCCAAGTGGACAAGTGGACAATCCTCAGAGGATCAAGAAGGGCAGATTCCCTACCGTGCCACGTCTCAGTGTTTATCCACCTCTGTTTCCCTCACACACAAAACCAGAGACTGCTCCTTGCTGCCAGGGAGAGCTGAGCATGGGCAGTCCACCCACACAGCTGCGTCACTACCAGTGTTTTTGCCTTCAAGGTCTGAGCAACATATCTACTGATTCACCAAGCCCCCACAGAGTGGACTATTCTTAGAGCTGATTTCCTTCCGTTTCCTACATCTGACCATCTTGAGTGAACATCACCATTAATTTATCATCAGTCAAGCCTGCATGGGGGCAGATTTTTGGGGGACTGGAGAAGCTACCCCTGATTGCTGCAAGCTGTGAAGCTTCATCTATCATCTCTGCCATGGTATTCCACATTCCATGTTATTCAGAGCACTAAAGGCTCTGGACCAGAGTTGTGCTTGCAATCTCCTATATTCCCTTCACATTGCTTTTCCCGCTGACCACAGACCTACTCCCCATGGTGTCTCTCCTCCCCAAGATCCCAGCAGGAGGAGCTGCCATGGCGTGGCTCTCCCTTTGCAATTCATGAGCTGGCTTTGACAACCCTGTTGCAATCACAGAAAATATACTAAAATATTATAATGGCCCTATCACCATTGAATCCATTCTGTCCAACAGCAAAGCTGGATTTCATAAATCAGAAGCAATCAGCTAAACTGTTCTGACTAAATACTTCCTTCCCTTTGATGAAAGCACTGGCAGATTCATAAGCTTCCTCTGTTGACCTGACAATAAAGTCAAAGCAATCCTAGCTATGTTTTTCCAACTGGATTTGTATTGCCAATGTGTGCAAATCTCAGGAACTTCTTATGAGATTCTTCTAAATATGAGGAGATGGGGATTAAACTGTCATATTTCCTCCCTCCCTGTCTCAGATTTTATACCCTCATCAACAGAGCTGGGATTACGGCTTGAGTTTAGGATGTGGTAGCAGACAGCTGACAGACTTTCTTCCTGGACAGATCAGACTTTTGTATGGGGGATTCCTCTGGGGCCTGAAGCCTTTTCTGTGGGAAAGCATGGCATGCTGTGCATGTCCTTCGCTTGCAGCAGACACACCTGACAGTCACTTCTTATCACTCAGCTATCCCCTTGTCCAAAGGTTAACACTGGACATTTGGAGCTTTGACCACATGGGAGAAGGGAAAACAAAACGTCCTTAAATTCAGACAAATCATTGATGTCAAAGAATATTTTCTTATGCTCAGCACACAAAAGAATGATGGCAGAAAACAAGGAGGGTCCTTCTTTCTGCAAAAGCCCTTCTGCATATGGCATTTCTGACAAATGCCATAGTTTTGCAATCACATTTTTTAGCAACATCTGAAAAATGAATCAGAAAGTGAACATGTTGCAACATGCATTTCATCTCAAGGACTATTTTATATATATTTCTTGAATTATCTCACTGGCTTGCCAATCACTCCTTATATCTAACTATATACCTATGTACACCTTCACAGACATGTCTGGGCCTGCTTCTGCAGTCCCTACACAAATAAAATGCCCACTCATTTGAGTGGGAGCTCTTTTGAGATAAATGTGGCAAGATTGGGCCTTTGGTGCATACGCGCGAGTATCCTGCACACACTTTTTAAAATCATTAAAAAAATATAGTAGCTATAGATTTGTAAGCAATCAAAATCTAAACACAGTAAAACTGCACTTATTACAGTGAATTTACATTGCTCATTTGTATGAAGCAAACAAAGGAAAGGAAATGCCTGTGACCCTGTAATTACAGATGAACTGTAATACAAGTTTTGCTTGTCCTTTTGTCTGTCCAAAAGGATTTATGCAACCAAAAAGAGGGATTGGCACCATTTCTGTCAACACATGGGTGCTTCTCAAGTGCTTTCCCATCTTTTTTTGAAGTATCTTTTGCAAAGTGTCAGACTCCTTTCCGTTGATTTTGTTCACTTCGATCACCACAGTAAAGAAAAAATCCCTTACTAGGGAAGGTAACCTTAGCAGAGCAGCAGCAGCAAAGCAATCCTGAAGCCACTACCAGTCCCAAACTCAGGCAGGATAAGGAGTAAGGGCTCTAGGTGCCAGCTTCAGTGTCATTACTGTTGTCATAAAGCTTTAATGCACAGCAAGACGGCCAACCCGCAGGGTGTCATTGCTCTCTAAATAGCACTTTCATTACAGCACTTCATTGTCAAAGCCCTTTGCACACAAATTCACAAAACACAGCGAAGACAACGATCTCTTTTGCATATGAAACCAAGGAAACCGTTTCACCCACAGGTTCATTAGTGCGCTGCCTACTTCACAGGTAGACCACAGAGGGGGTGTTCACTAACACACAGTGTTACTCTAAGATCGAAACCACGACAACACAAACGTATAAAGCTTAAGCACTGGTCCTTCACCCGCCCCTGGCTGGTGTTTCTCAAGTGAGTTCTGACACCTTTTTCAAGGATATGCGTTACTTTTAAGGTAATCAGACCTCTGGAGTGCAGTGTAAAGTTTGAGTAAATACACCCTCACGTACCATCCAGGTCACTGCTGACCAGTAGGGACTTTTGAAATGGTGACCATCAGCTTTCACCTCCTTTGTGATCATTTCATCTGTAGTGTGAGCAAATTTCACAACTCTAAGCATGGCACAGGTGCTTTTAAAAGAAGCTTTGTGCATTCATACATTACAATATCCAAGTCCAGATTTGGATTTAAACCCTCTCCCCCACACCAAAACAACAACAAAAAAAAATAAAGTATCCCTCATAGAGAACTTTAAACTTAAAATCCTTGATCATATATCCTGTAATCTACGTCAGACAAGACAAGGCACTGGACAACAGCCCAAGTGCTTCAGACTAAGAACTAAGACAGGGAAACTCTGTTCATTTAACTACGCCAACACATCTGAAGCAGCAATCCTTACCTTCCTGTGTGTGCAGTCACACCAGTAGGAAAGGGCAAAAACCAGCAGTGTGCTACAGCAAAATAAACTTCAGCAACCTGTAGCAGCTTTTCTGCATCAGGATTTTGCCAGTTCAACTGCAGCAGAAAAACTAAGCTTGGCATAAGTGACAGAGTTACACTGACAACATTTAAAGAATACACCAGCCCTTTTACTATCCTAGTAACATTCTCAACATACATAAATGCCATGTTAAGACATCTGACATCTTGAGATGCATAATTTTAAAATAAGCATCATAATCTAAGCCACAAAATATCTTCTCTGTGTTTTAACTTCATTTCCTGACATTACTTATTATAGATACCTGAAAATGTTAACTCGACCTGCCCAGTGACTCAACATTCAGATACTCTTACAAAGTCTTTAATAAAAATCAATGAGGAAATGGTTTTTTTCTATCATATGCTGTGATACTTTATCCAAAAAAATCGACTTGTAAAATATAAGTATGTAATCTCCTTGCTATTCAGCCTGAGAAAACCTTGCAGGAGTGTGAAGGAGCACGTTTCCTCAACAAGGACTCCAATCTGAAGCTGAGATGGTCTCTGCAGGAGGAAGTACATACATTGCCCATGGGATAGTTAGAAGGAAAGCATCATAGACAAAGAGAAAGAAAACACGATCAAGCATAGGAGAACAGAAATATATGACACAAGAACGAAGAAGAAAGAAACTCTAAAACAATATCACAACATGATTCACACAATTACCTTTTGCTGTGAATGGGAGTTTAACATTCTGTTCTATCCTGGCTGAAAAAATTCATAAAGTGATTTCGTTTATTCCTAATACATCTATTTGCTATTTTTGAACAACACTTTGTGACAATACATAACAAAGATCTTAAGTTATATATCCCCATTAAGCTATACTGCTAAAGAGTATTTTCAAAAACCTAAATGCCAGAGAGCAGTGCTCTCAATAAAACCTGACAATGCCCCAAGGTACTCGATTCAGAAACCTATGTAAAGTCGTACAGTCTACTCTGAAATTCTCCACCACTGATTTTCCTCAAAAGTTTGGTGCTTTTCTTGATAGTGAAATGATAAATATATTAATGTGCTCTGTGTATCCCTAAATCTATTGGAAATGTGCTTCTTATCTGACTTGTTTTCCAGGGCAGTGTGTACCCTGGGGCACAGGAGTTTTTCTCCTCCTACACTACTACGGACCCAACTCTGCTTGCAGGAAAGATGCTGGTATCCTAGATCCTATGGGATGCAATGCCTTGAGGAAATTTATATCAAACAATTATTGCATAATCTCCATGTGTAATAAAACCTCCTACACCATACACAGGCATCGAGTTCCCGTTACACTTTTCCCAGTGTCCCTGTCAACTGCAGGTCCCCGTGTGAACCCGCAGGATCCCCTTGCTGTGCATGTGGAGGAAATTGAATATTTCTGAGGGCATGGCGTGAAAGCCCGGTCGGGGCTTCACGTTGTCGTAGTAGTGGTGAGTTATAAAAATCCCTGAGGGGTTCATGGGGAAGGCCCAGAAGCCGAAGAGGTGGACCTCTTCGCAGAGCTCCAGGGCAGCAGTCACCAGGATCAGCCCGGTGCTGACCCGCTTGGCCCGCACCCCTTGGCCGAGCCAGTAGCGCGAGACGTTGATGAGATACTGGGGGTGGAAGTAATAAACAGCCTGCTGGGACTCGAAGTCGTCCAGGACGTATTTGACCCGGATGGACACATCTGTGTTGCGGGTGTTGTAGAAAGCCGGCAGCAGCACGGACGCGTTCTCGTACACCTGCAGCACGTCGTAGAAGGGCTTCCTCCACTTCTCCAGCTTGTGGAATCTAGAGGGGGGAGAGGGTGTGAGGGACGGTCAGTCAACACCCAGCACAAAACCAAACCACCAGTGGGCTTTCGCCACGGTATTTCTGATGCAGAGGTAATCGAAGTGGTGTTTCGGTTGCCAGGGGGAATTTGTTTAGATCTGTAGCTGCGGCATCAGCGTGAAACTTAGGGCAAAAATTCAGGGGATGAAAAAATTCATCCTGTGCTCTCTTTTGGCTATAAATTCGTTAAACAGCGGGAAAACCTTGTAGACATTTCTGATCATGTCTCACTTCTCATTTTATTGTTAGACATATGTCATTCTTCCAAGGTGTGGAGCAGCTGGATGGTGCACTATGCAGTGCAGAGCTGTATAGAAACACCAAAGCTAGCAAACACCAAAGCTAGCAAATGTCTAAAATGTCTAACTTTAACATTTAAAAGAAATCCAACATCAAACAACTGTTTTTTTGTTGTTTGAGAAAAGAAACACATTCCCCCATAAGAAAGGAAAGCCGTGATTAGCCCCATGGCCCCAAACCTGTCAGCAAGGTGGCAATAGGTTATTAACAAATTTTAAATTGAAATCACCCAGCCAATCCTGGCCACAAAGTTTAACTGTCATTTCTTTAAAATGTATGACAGTGTCTGTTTCTTTATTTACTTGATGATCTTTAAAGTCTTTTCCAGCCTTAACAACTCTGATTCTATAATTTAAGTTGCTAAATTTAATTTAAGATTCTATAATCTAGTTGCTTCCACCCTGAATGTTTCTAAGATGTTTGCCTGGGGCTTGCAAACATGGCATAAGACTTCCAGGGAAAGGATGCCTCTGTTGTTTTAATTTTAGCTCATGACCTTTCCTTTTCTATCATCAAAGTGCAGGTTTAAGTGTTTAACACGTTTCTACAAGTTGTTACTTATTCCATATACTGAATAAATTACATGCAGAATTTAATGTATGATTCATAGCATCAGTTTAAAGTAATATTTGGGGAAAAAATTCTCCATAACAGTTAAAAGAGATGAAAATAAAAAAAGCAGAAACAACCTCTCAGTGATTATACTGGGATTGACAGTCACGACATCCGTCTTTACCCCAACATCCATGAAGTATTTTTCAGATATAGGAGGCAAATTGCATCTATAAAGGAAAGAAATCAGTAAGACAGTTAAAAAAATTCCTTGAACCTTTTCAGGACTAGAAAATAGAATTGATTTCAGCATTTCTGCCAAGCAGCAGATCTAGAAGCAGATTGAGAATTTAAAATTGCATCAGAACCTGTTGATACCCAAACTGTGCAGTAAAGTAACAAGTTCTTGAGGGCTGTATGAAGACCTCTTCCGCCAGCCTGTGAAAGATGATCCCTTTTTGCAGATGTGCCAATGCTCATTTTGCTTCCTTAATAGCAGTTTACCTATTTACTCTAGCATTTTAGGATGAGAAATGGGTTGAAGCCCCAAGGCCAATCAGCCAGTAAAATCAAAGGCTTGCTCAGCAATAGCTGTTTTCAATAATTAATAAACTATATCTATAACATCGCTTTTAACATGCTTTGGTTTATACCTAAGAGGATTTAGGGGAAATGTTCCACAAGAGACAAATCAATCCAGTCCTAATTAACCCAAAAGTATCAGCATCACTTCCTTTTGCATTTATAAGCATCTCCCAGCGAAGTGCAATAGCAGGAATTCTGACTGTACAGGTTCACCACGGGACATCAAACCTATTAGGAGCAAACTTGTGAAGATTTGCAAACCTTGATTTTGCCCAGCTTCCTTTCACCTTGGCCTTGTCCCAGATACATCATCTCACAAAATTTAGAGCATCCCTCAAGAGATGCTGAAGTTACTGAAACACACACACATGAACTATCATACAGGCTTGACTTCCACAGGAAACACAGCTGAAAAAAAAGCCTCAGAGACAAAACATGTGGCCTGACAAGTAGTTTTACACCCAGTTTAACCTAGTGTAAGGGACTGACATTTTGAAAACTTTTTGAAGTGAGCTACAGGCCTCAATAAAAGCCATCATGGTAAAGATCCCTACATCTCAAAAATAGTGCTTGATTCACAAAGTTCTCCATATTTCTGAAGATTGTGGCTGAACAGGAGAAAATTGCGAAGGTATTTAGGGTAAGAGATCCTTAGTGTTTTCACATTACCACAGTTCAGCTGTCAGGATGATTTCTCAGTCAAAGGGAGAGGGCAAGCACAAAAATCCTTCAAAATCCTTCTGAGACTCAAGAGGTTCACATCTGCCTTCCAGAGAGTCCCTCTTTATCAGGTCAAAGAATTTTTTTTAGCTATCTTTCTCAGAGGTAGTGTTATTTCCAGCACTTTTCTCTGCTAGGTCATGCAACATTCTTCTGAAGTCCTCCAGCATCCTCAGTTCCACCTAGCACTGGGCACTGTGACCATTTGAAAAAGGGTTTTCAAATAATCAGCTTCAATACTTTTAAACAGTAAATTCCCACCAGGACTAAGAATGACTGATTTTTTTGGAAGTGGTAATTCCTTATAAAAACTATAAAGTCTGCATAAACTGTATTTTTTTTTGATAACACTCCAAAAATTCACCCCAACAAAGACAGCATCTCTAAATGCACCCAGTGTTTCCTCACAGCGCTCTGCTCTGGCCAGTAGATGGAGATAGACAATAACTACTAGTAACTGCAATTCTTGTGCATATTGTATATATTCTACTGTACTACAGTTAACTGCTTTCAAAATTCATTTCATAGAACAATCTGGGTTGCACCCTGCTGGCCACAAGCTTCCTGACAAGAAAAGATTCCCCCAGGTGTCCTGAAGGTGTTGCTGAGTGTTAGTCATGCTCCTTGTGAAATATTTCAAAGAATTATTTCACTGGTGATCAAGATGATGATTCCTGATAGTTTGGTGGACTGATGCCTGGAAAGCAGGTGTGTTCAGACCCAACCCTTTACTTTAAAACTGAAGTCAGCAGATCTTGAGTTTTAAAACACTGTCACATCTTTGTGCATAATCCACATATTTTGAAGATAGATAGTGAACCAGGGGTTTCTTTTGCACTAATAGTGATGTATTTATTCATATTTCAGTTCTACCTAGACCTCTACTTAATTAATTACTATTAACAAATACAACTCAATTTCTAAGTTCTGTAATCATCTGCTCTTTTTTTTTATCAGTTTCAGTACCTTTCAAGGAAGAGTAACAGTGGTAAAAAAGGGACTTTCATTAGAAGTCCTTAAATGTAAATTATGAGATTTTTTTGATGTCCACTTTTCTGCTTCAGCTTAAAAACTTGTCATCTCCATGTGTAACATGCACTGCTCCTTTCTGATATACTGATAGCTGTGATCCAACACAACATCTACAATAACTATTTGAAGTGTATAGGGTACACGAGGCTTTTAAGAAGTAAATTATGTGAAACTTGAACTGTTCCACAGACTCTTTTTTTTTCATCAAAAACTAAGACCATAATTTTCTATAAAGTTGGAATGAGGCAAATGCAAGGGTCTGAAAACAATGAATACTGAAAGTAGGACCTGCAAAATTTTGTAACTAATGTGATGTCAAATTAAATTAAGACTGCAATGAGCCAAAACCTGACCTAATTTTTGGTGGTAGGAAGTCAGAGAAATGAATTGTTTTGTTCACAGTTATTCCAAACTGACAACAACACACCCAAGATCAGAAAATAGGCCAACAGAAATAAAGAGATTGTTCTTCTCTCCAGAACAGGTCGTGAATCTTTGAGCTAGCGGTCATATGCCATGACCCAGCCAAAGAGCTTAACAGGATTTAGAAAGGGATTAGTCATGCATATGAATAATAATAATAAAAAAATCTTTCTCATATATATTAAGGATTATAAAATTGCTGCTAGGCTCCGTTACCCAGGACCAGCAGTTGAGGGACATCCCAGTTCATGCAAAACCTGGATAACTCCACATACAGAGGGGCACACAGCAGGAAGACGCTCAACTGTCAAAGTTATTCCAGTGTGTCTGCACACCCTGGATTGATTATTGATTACTGTTATTGATAACCCCTGTTATCCAGCACCTGAGCTCTGCACCAGTTCAGAAACACAGTTCTGAGGCACATGAGCTGCTAGCTATTAACATCTGGCCAAGCAATAGAGGCTGTGCCTCTGTTTCAGATCTGCCCCAGTAAACCATGGCCAGGTTCACAGGACACTGCTCATAGGCTAATGTCCATGGAAAGATAAATCCATGGCCTGAGTGACAGGGGCCATCCTGAAAGAGGACATCAAACTTTGTCAACAAGTCAATTATTAACTCCATGTATTTAGGGAGAAATAATTCCCTAAAGCATAATTTTTAAATAAATATGGTGAGCTGTTTCGTTGGGTTTTTTTTTTTTTGAAACATGGCCTTTTGTGCCAGAAGCAGGCTTGATACAGCCAATTCAGCAAATCCCCTGTTTCCAAGTGAGAAAGAATAGCTTTGGATTGCTTTATTTGTCATTAGAACAGGCAAGAAAAGAAAAAAAAAAGAAAAATGGAGCAGTGGTGGTTACCGGAACACGAAGTCTGCACTGTCAATCTCCCGGCCACATCTGCTGTTCTTCAGAATTCCTCCATTCCCAACCACTGCACACCTCTTAAACTGGGAGCGGTGGTACGGCATGTCCTGCAACAGCACAGCAAGGAAACAGTTAAAAAGCCAAAAACCACGGAGGCAACAAGCCTCTTTTCTGCTTTTTCCTTTTTTTTTTTGGTGCACCTTGCTGCAGGTGCATTGATCATGGGATGCTGACACTGGTTCTGGGGTGCAATATTCCTATGCTGTACGTGAAAGGATGGGATTGTTTGCTGTGTGATTCAAGACATCATGGGCCACTAACCCGGATGAAAAAAAGAAAAAAAAAAAAACAAAAAGAAAGAAACAATAGCTTGCTTTCTTCCTAAATTGAATAATAGAAGGAGTACTTTTAGGCACTTGCTTTCCCTTTTTGGTTTCCACACGAGGGCATGAACCATGAATTAGTGAACCCCAGGCATTGTTTTCTGAGCTGCCTGCAAACTTCTCGCTCCTCGGGCTCTATGTCCTGCTTCTGAGAAGTCTGCACACAGAGTTCCAGAGCAGCCAGGAAAACACAAGAAGTCTGACAGCACACTACAGCCATTTGTCAGAAAACAGCCCAAATTTTAGTGCTTACTAACCCAAATTGTACTAATAGTATTAATGGTTATGAATTAACATTTGTATTACCAGCACTAGAGCCTTTGGTCAGACACTTCTTTGGACTTGTTGTAGGAGCATCCCTCGTCTTTCTGTAATCTTTGGGCAAAATTCTGCCCTCACACACAGACATGCAGCTGCTGCTGGAGCCAGAGAGAGTGAAAAATCACATCCTGGGAACAAACTGGGCTGTTAGGGTGAGAGGCCTGTGATGCAGAGCCTCGCCTCGCTACACCTTATGAATATGTAGAGATGTGCTTATATAAGCATGAGAGTGCTCGTTTTGGTACATACATATTTTATCAATAATTTCATTACTGCGAACTACAGAGGGATGCAGTGGTGGCTTGACATTTCTAGGTGATTATTCCCAGGATCTTTCCACGGCATTCATAAGCCATGAGGCAAAAGGGCATGCAATTACACCTGCCTGAGAAAAGCACCAGCTGTCTGGCAGAGAGGAAATATAGAGCTGTCTGCACTTTGTGCAGCAATCTCTTAACACAAAATGCCTCGGCAGCTCTGAAAGAGAAGTCAGAAGCCAGGTGTCTGTGCTCAGCACAAGGCTCCTGCCTTCCCAGTGTTGCTTCTGTGTTTTCAGCCCTTTATCATCTATATTTGCCACGCTGCAGCCCTGCTCTAATGCAGTGGGGTGGCTTTGGCCACACAGGTGCTGCCCTGCGAATCCCAAAGGCATTTTGGTACCTAATAAAGCCTTCAAAGCATCCTCAATCCTACCTGGATAAACACAACAGCAGCTATAGCACACTCCTAGCAAAAGTGTAGGTGTTTAGTCTTTCATGCAATCAGCTGCATAATCAGGCAGGGTTTTGCGGATAATACTCCTGGACTTAGATGTGCCTGTTTTTTGCATGTCTCCAGATGCCAAAGTGCTTTTCTGGATCCAAGCCTTTCCTCTGCTTCAGCCCCAGTCCCCCGTGTGCACATTTAGGTAACGGCACTACCCTACCTCTTAGCAGTGCTCAGAAGGCAACTGGATTAAAAGTGGTTAGACCCTGAAGGGCAAGTTCAATGGCACAAACCTAAGTACTTAACCTGAATGTTTGTCTGATTTCATTTATCCCCTCCAAATACCCCACTGTAAATTGATGAGGTGTGCCCATGATAAATCAGCAGCCACATAAGCCCATTCCTGTGCATCAGTCACTATGTGCAGTGGGCATATAACCTTGAATGGCCCTGAGGTCAAGGATTACTTGCTAAAAATGTTTTGTCTAATCCTTTTACATTTTATAATTTATAATTTATTATTTGTATTTTTAAACAATATATTTAAAAATTGTGCAGCCTGTTCACGGATAATCTGCAGATGAAAATAGGTTTAAAAATAGTCAATCCTTTTGAATATGAATTATAAAATAATCAAGAAATGTGGGTCTGCCCCAAATGGTGGATTTATTATACATGAAAATTGTACTCTGAAAAGTTCTGACCAGTGAGTGTCTCTTTATTCAGCTTTCTTAAGTCACTTCATTAGCTACTTTGCTCCTACGTCAGCAACACTCTGCAGGAAATTGTATATATTGCAGATGACCACTAAAAAAATAGGATGGTTGGCTAAAATATTGTATGAGAAAGAAACATTTTCAAAGTATAAGCAATGAATTTTGTAGAAATGTCAGTCAACTGCTAAATGCTTGGCTACAGGATAGTGTCTAATGCAGCAAGTATAGTGAAGTTGATTCTGCAAATAGGCAGAGGCACCTTTGGAAACATTTTGAAGATTTCTTGGTTGATATGGAAGATTCCACTAGTGTCCACTTCATATTTCAGTTTAGTTCCCAGGGGAGTGTTTTTCTGGGTGGTGAACAGAAAGGCAGGGGCATTGCAACACCTCGACAGAGTAGACCTGTGAAATGAAAAAGAGAGAAATAAGATTAAGGAGCTGAAGGCATGATAGAGGATTTGCAATTGCTGTTACTCCTAAAAAGGGATTTTTCAGCAAAAAGAAACCTTTTAGCTGTAGGAGGGGTAAGATGTGCTTTGCTGGATTTTCCTTCAGCAAATATTGGATTTGGTGAAATTTTCCTTGATTGAGAAAATTATGGGGGGGGAAAAAAGAGAATAAATGAGACGTGCATCTGTCTTTCCTAAGCTGTGGGAAATACATGTGGAAATTCTGCCCTGCTCCAGTATCTAAAGCTGAGCTTCTGCCCCCAGTATCCTGGGGACACCACCTTAAAGAATTAGGCCTTTCTGCTTTAGAGATCTTCCACACTTTGCAAATTATATTCTCATCACTGGGCAGGAAATGCAGGGGCTAAAGAGTTCATCTGGGGATGTGGATGTTTGGAAGGGCAGGTGCTTAAACACAGAAATACCTAAAGGCACTGTCCCACTTACCAGGCTACTGTGAGGCACAGCAAACTTTGAGTGCAAAAAAAGCTTTTAAAGGTCTTAGTTTTGTCTTTGGTCCAGCATATGTGCACCAGGAAGATGATGTGGCTCTGACAGGTGGGTGGGTGCCAGGCAAACTGGTCATGGCTGTGACTCCAAAACCTCAGACAAATGGCCAAAATTTTCTGTATCTCTGGGACAAAATCACAGGTATTCTGATGCAAACAAGAACCACATGAAATCCCAAAAATGGGAATTATGACATGAGAGAAAAAACATTCAGCTCTGAGCCCTTTACCACGTTTCTTATGAAACAAATAGGAAAAGCAGCTTTCCAAATAGGGTTCCATTTCTTAACTCCCATCTTTCCCTGAATGCTTTTCTTCTGTTACTGGTGGAACTGAAAGCCCTGACTTCAGGTCCCTCTTATTCCAGAGACAGTTTATTTCCCAGCCAATGCATTTTGTGCTTTTAATGAAAAATACACGTCATGGCAAATGCACAAACATGAAGACAAAGCCAAATGGCTCTCAAATAACCTAGATTAAATACCTTGCCTCTAGGGTGTGTGGCCTCATTATGAGCTGAAAAAATAACCCAGTCTTCTTTACGGGCTCTGTTACAAGCACCAGAAAGCAAACACAGAATTATGCAAACATTTCAGTGATGTCCAATTACTATTATGTACTTGACTCATGTGGAATGACACAATATGATGATAGATCAAGGCAGCAAATGAGACTGTATAAGTCAGTGAATAATCTCTAACAGCAAAATTACTAAATAATTACAAGCGAGTATTGAAATTAAGTTGTGATATTTGGGATGTGAAAAAAACTCTTTATTGGTTCTGCATTAAGGACTGGAAAGAGATGTTTTTCCATGATGACCAATTGGTTTTCCAGAGTCACATTCCTTAATGCAAATGTCTGATATCTGATGGAGGAAGAGACTCAATGAAATTGCTTTCCCTAGTCTTCAGATATAAACACTAGTGTGATTTTTGTGCTTCCTCTCTCCCTGCTGCTTAAGTAGCTACCATTTAACTTCTGTTGGATTCTTCCCATCTCACCAGATGGTCCAGAACTGGCAAAGTTCAAAATCCCACAGCTCAGAGCTGTTATACCTTTCAGCCTCCTACTAGCCAACCTCCAAACTCAGAGACTTTGGTCTGGATTGGAGAGGCTGCAGTTCCCCCACACACTCACACACTGAAGTCTCTGTCTCATTGCACAGAAATGAAACAGACTTTGAACACTTTCTTTGTTTTGTTTTGTTCTCATGACTACCATGATTGGTGTTCCTGGAACCAGCTCACAAGGGCTAGGTTACATCCAGGTGCCAGTGGGGGTTTCTGACGCAGCGATGCATCAATCTCCCCTCTTTTTCTCTTCTCAAAATCGATTCTCTTTTTTCTCTCCGTGCACAGGGAGGAGAGGAGTTCTTTGTTTAACATGCTGGTGTTGGTGGCCTCAGACAGACTGATGCTCCCCCTGTCCTGATGGTCTCTATATAGTCCCTTGCCATTGCTCCCACCACTGCACTGGTCCCATTCCTCTTCACACCTCAGTGTGCTCCTTGCACTCTGGGAACAATCATTACTGCTCTTACTCCAAGCTGTCTTTAAGATAATGAGCTGTAATCTTGAATGGCTCCTCTCTTCAAAACAGGCTCTGATAATTGCCCACACCAAGTAATTTCCAGAAAAAAATATAGTAAAATATCTGTAAAAATTTTATGGGTGCAGATCACATTGGAAAACCTCCTGTGTGCCTGGGACTAACAACGTTATTTTTAAAGATGTCAGTGACTAACTCAGCACATGCATTCTCACATTCTCTCATTAACTCCTGACAGCTATTTCCTGGAATCATGCAAAAGAATTTGGGATAGAGCTGGTGGCTTTATTCTAAACAACAGCTCTGAATTGTACCAGTGGCTTACAGACTTAACCAGTCTCTGAAATAACGTGTTTTGTCTAAACCTACACAAATATGGCACTTGAATATATCAATATACAGCATTCAAAAATTGTTTTGGCTTCCTTTCTACTATTTCCCTCATAAGATCAGTTTCAAAAGCTGTATCTTGAGAGGATCATGGGGGACCTTCAGCAAAGACAAATTCACAGGAAGGAAGACAGAGTTCTTCAGAAAAAAACTGAGAGGTCTTGGGAAACAGAAAAAAATATGTAGGTAGCCTGTGAATAATAGCTGAGAAGCCAATTAAAAAAAACAAAAGGACGTCATAAACAAGGTCTGACAATACCTGAAACACCACAGAAGAAGTCCAATTTTAATATTTTGTCTGCCAAATTTGCAGTATCGATAATTCTAGCCTTCCAGATCACCACAGAGTTAGGTTGATGTATTAGGTGCAGCCATTAAGGCTTGTCACCATCCTCACTTCTGCCTGAATCATACCTGTAAGTCTTTCCCCTACCAAATTCCTTGCCTTTCCTTGAAGACTCTTCCACATGACAGAAAAGCATACTTTTATCTTGCTGTTGACACTTCAAAAGTAGGAAAAAAGTCCATATTTATTCAAAAGGATGGTACCCCAAGAGCTAATGTTATAATAGTTACTCTTGTTATCCATATGAAGATTTGATCTCTCTACAGGAAGTTAAACTAAAACTGAAGTATGTTTTACTCAGTCTCACTAATGTGGACCATTCTTACTTGAATAAATTGGCTTCTGTGACATTCATCTCCCATTTGCACATCTGTAGGTTCTTCCATCTGTCGAACAATTCAGTTTGTTTCACCCTGAAAGATAAAATGAAAAGAAAAATAAAAATTCAGTTTATTAGAAGGGCTTCTTTTCCTAAAACAGCTGCAGGCAGGGTACCATGCTGTTGGCTTTTGACCAGTCAGCCTAGCTGGTACAAAATGTGTCATTTTTATTTGTTTTTCTGCTCAGACATAGCCACTCTTAGCCACATGTACACAGGTACTGATGTTTGGGAGCGATTTCTGTTCCCTGATTTGCTTTCTCAATTTCTCCAGGATAAAAAAAATGCAAAATTGACCAAGAACCACCTACTCTACCAAAATCTGCTGGGAAGCCAGTGAGGGTCTGGCAACTGGGTTTGGATGGGGGGGGGGAATTTCATCTCTCAGAAGGGCCCAGGAGGGGGTATTGGGAAAGAGGATACATTAGGCCAACTATGGCTGAGTTTCAGAGAGTTTAACTTAATCCATGAGATCCTACAGCATGGCACTGTAGGTAAACTTATTTTTTGAACTGCAAGAGCACACACGTGGGGATAGGCATCTGTGATGGTAAGAGGACATGAAAAGCTCTTTACATAAGGAACTCTCCCTCTTCTTCTCTTAATCAATGTACCTGCAGTCACGTTAGAAAATGAGACTCCTATTTCTACTAGGCTGATACAAGATGGCATATTTTTTGGTGATATCGCCTATTCCAGCCACTCCTGCATTAAAGCTCACATATAGCCTTCTGTATTTGGACAACAGAGATAAAGAAGGCCTTGCAAATATCTAGAGGGAGGGAACAACTGCATAATTTTGCTAAGAAATTTGGAAGTCTGTGATTTCTTCTAGATTGGTAAGTCTTAATTAGTTCTCTTCAGGCTTGAGGGCTTTGAATACTTGAATAAAGCAAAGAGTTTTAAGATAATTATATATTTAGAGTGAGTAGAACTTAGGATTTCCCAGGCTGTGGAAGTTACAGGAAGGAATTAGGTCATATTGTACTTTCTGTAGCCCACCAGAGCACATTAACTTGGAAATCTTCCATTACCATAAGGTCTGACTCTGGAAATGTAGCACATTAGAAGCAAGAACGTCAGTAGAGCCCAGCATAGTAAGAGAGCTTAGTGTCAAATGGCATCTACTGTAGAAGTAAGGATGGAGCAGGAGCCCACTACCTTCCCTGGGCTATTGGATAAGATGAAGAAAAATGAGCAATTCCCTGTGCCCTCTGATCAGTGTGCAAAAAAAAAAAAAAAAAAAAAAAGGCAATTCAAAACTCCCCATCTTCAGCAGAGCATTGGCAGAGGTGTGACATTCTCACCCCTTCCATTTATTTTTAAGCACTGCAAGTCAGCAAGCAGTGCAAAGTGTGTTACTCGTGTATCCTTCATCCAGTACCAAACACAGAAGGCAAGGACATAACCTACATTTTTCTGTGCACAAAGTCAGTGAGGGAGACACGTCCAAAATCGTGCAGACCTGGAGCAACAAACTGTATTTTCTGAAGCCTTGACTGCAGAATGTTGTGTCCAATAAGTTCCATTGGCAAACTCATTTCCCTCCCCCCCTCCTCAGTTCCATTGCTATGGCTTCACAGACATATCTCATTCAACTAATTTGTTTCCTGATCTACTTTCAGGACCACAAAGCACAAATTATAGGGTTTTTACTGTTGCTAGAGTAACATTTTCCTTTCTGCTGAGGTTTATGCAGTTGTGAAGCTCTCTGCAGTTTGAGGGGGTCAAAAATACATATGGTCTCGGAAAATATCTAAGTAAATTAATAGAGAAGTCTGTTGTCCACTCTGATTACTGAAGTCTGGACTCCATCTGCCACTCCACAAGTCCCCATAATATAATATTTATTATCAGGAAGAGCTGATCTTTTTGCTTCCTTTCTTAGCCCTCACTGCTGGCCACTGTCAGTGATAGACCCTTGAGCTAGAGGGACACTTGCTGTGAGTCAGTCTGGCTGTTCTTACTCTTCAATTACTGGAAATATGGTATTATAAACACTGTATTTGACTCCAAACAATAACACTGAGTCTGATCAAAATGTCTCAATGTGTGGGAAAAGCCTCCATTTTTTTCAAATGGACCTCAGGTCAAATCCAAATGCTGCTTGCACATGTAAGAGAATCTCAGGAATCCCTGCTGAGATCCCTGTTGATGGGATCTCCTGAGCCTTGCATCTTTCGATAACGTCACTAGAAGTTATCATTTTTCATATCCTGCCTGAAATGTAACCTTTTAAGCAAGCTTTGGTTCATACTTACATTGACAAAACCTTCACCTCAATGATGTCCTGCCGTAATTCCAGGCATTTGGTAGAGTTGTATTCCAAAGGCCCTTCATAAAACTCAAAATACCTGAAGAAGAACAAGGAAAGATACCATAAATAAGGTTTAGACTGGAATTCTTGTCTTGCACATCAACAAAGCTTTGCTGAATATTGTCATTTATGATTTTTGCCTAACTTGAGACTACACTGCCTGTCTCATGGGCAGGTTATTCCTTCACAGGAGACCACACATGTCATTGCTGATTGTAGAACAGTCACCCATGTCCAGTTTGTCCATCCCAACAGGAGTTCATCCGTCCTGTGGTTCCTGTGATCACCAAGAAGGACCAGCTACCTTTTCCAGCAGCCAGCACTCGGCAGCTGGAACTGATCACTTATGGAACACTGTTTCCATCTTTTGGGTGCCCGAATGTGCTAAGAGATGAAAAAAACAGTACTATAAGTGTTGTTCTTGGGTGGAAAGCAAAGTGCTAATGGTGTATCCTGTCTATGGAGACTATTCCATGGCAATTGAGCCTTTTATTAGGATTTAGTCTTTTGCTACATTTGGAGGGGAAAGGAGGCAGGGATTTTCTTCTAAAAAAAAAATTTTGAGAAGGAAAGGATTTGAATGCTCAGACACAGTACAGACAACAGTGTTATTCTTAATTAAAATATAAGCATAAATCTTTACTTTTTTGGTTAATTTTTCTACCTCAGACATTGGACTGGAGTGAAGGGGAAACAAAACACAACGTTTAGGGGCAAGAGAAAGCTCGGGCTGTCCAGGGAATTCAATGAGTCTGTATTGAAAGAGCAGACAAGATTTAGGATTTAAACCAAGCTTTGTATCAGTTTCACCACTTATCATTAGACATCTGGATTAAAACCTAATTCCTAAAGCCTGCACATTCCCATGCAGCAGTTAAGGGGACAACTAAGAAACAAGAGAAGATGACCAGGAGAAAAAGGTATTATGAACAAGGCTAGAGCAAGTTCATGGATCCTTGAAAATCTTGGAATTCGTGAGTCCCTAACTATCCCAAACTATCTTCTGAATTTTCAATAGGAAATAAAAACACAATGTTCTTGGGAGAGCATTATTTAAGCCACAATCGGAAATGCAATGTTTTGTGTCATTGTAAAATAACATCAAAATTTGTGTTTGACCCAAACATATGTGCTCAGTTCTGCATCCTTGAGTAGGAAAGCCTTGTTAGTTTCCTCAGTAGTTCACCTTTACAGTTAATATTAGAATTTTCGGGGATCCAAAATTGATCTGTTCTGGAGAAGTGCTAAGCACTCACATCTCCATGGGGAACTGTAAAAAGAGAGACTGTCCAGGCATCTCCAGCAGGGCCTCCAAAGGCCAGAGGCATCTAAAATCAAGCAGCTTCTGAATTTTGCTTTTTAAGTTGATCCAGAAATCAATGTGACAAAGCAAGGAAAAAAGAAAACCCACAGAAAGGAGAAAGGGACTATAGTGTGTGACTGGAAAAAGTCCAAGAGCCTCCCAAAGCAATCTGCTGGTAACTGGGAACATTTCTATCCTGTCAAATGCTGCTTTAGGAAGTGTCTCCTTCACCTCTCCCTGAGGTTTTCACTACCTCAGCTTTGCTAAATCGCCAACCAACCAATTCTGTGATCCAGTGAGGGGCAAAAACCTTGAAAATAAAAAGGGAAAGCCCATATTTAAAAGGTAGCAGGAGGAGAAAAATGAATTCCTAATAAAGAAGTAAACTGATTACTGTCAGAAAAAAAACAAAAACAAAAACAAAAACACAATAGCTCATCAATCTTTAAAAAATGTGACTCCTTGAAAATGTGTTTTCCTAGTCTTCAAGGCAAAAAAAAAAAAAAAAAGAGTTTTTTAGAGGAAATTATGTATTTAAAGTGTTCCATAATCCATGACAACTCTGTGAAAAGACTTCCTCAGCCTCCCTAAGGGAGATCTAACTTGAATCTTCACCTGGGCTCTCACCAAAAGGCTTGGGCTCTCCTTCCAGCTCAATCATTCACCTGGGCATGGAGCATTTACTACGGAGCAGCTGAAATCCACTGCACTGGCACAGCTCCTGTAGTGCTTGTCTTGTTGAGATGGAGCTGAGAAACTTGTGCATTTTGAAAGCTGCTTCAACTGAATTTGGATTAAGAGCTCACCTGCCTGCCCCAGACCAAAGCCCTGTGTGCATGTACTCCAGGTAACTTCCCCAAACTAAACCAAAGTCTCTCTCTAGACAGCATCATAGGACTGGGTACTGGTCACAGTTTGCCAGGGCTTAAGGAGTCCCCTTTGGCTGTCAGTACAGGCAATCTTTTCATCCTTCTGAAATGCTCCTTTTTTTTTTTTTTTTTTTACTGTCTTTCGCGTTATCAATTCTTTAGTTTGGTTCTTCGAGTCAGACAAGGCTGGGACCCTAAATGTGCATGTTCTACACAATAGCTAGAGGCAGGATACACCCCCACACAGCACTCAGCACGTTACACACCACTGCTGCTTCTTAAGATGTAGGGGGGATAGCAATGTCTATCAGTCTCACCCTTGCCTGTCAGCTAACACTGGATTTCAGTACCTTGCATGTGCCTCAGGACAGATAAGAACAGCAAAAATCTAGATTAGCATGTATTTTTATCTCCCCTGTGCACTTCTGGCTCTGCTGCTAAGTTGGAGAACGGCAGCTCAGATGTCAAGCAGCACATGCTGTCACGTGGGAGCACCACAGCAGGGGAAAGCTGGCTTCAGCCTGTGGCACTGGAGTCAAAGACATCGTTTTATGAAATGGAGATGAAATTTCCTGTGTCCCAGCCATTCCCTTTGATCGTTGCCTGTTTACGCGATCCACAAACCAAAAATAGAGATGGGAAAGGATGTGTTACCGAAGTGGTGGAAGGTTAAGGAGGAAAGGGCTGGGTAAAAAATAAACTACTTCTGGATCTGAAGGGAAATCAATCCATGAGGCAGCACTGCATTTGTAGTAGAGGTGTTCCATCAGCCCACAGCTTCGGAGAGCACAGGACTGTCCTGCAAGTCTCTAACTCTCACCACAGCTCCAGATTCCCCAGCAGAGCCACTGGGAGTATTGAATTCACCCTTTGGCACCTCGTGGAAATGCAGAGGGAGGATATATGGAAGAAGCTGGATGACACACTGCAGATGGGACACCTCCCTCCTGAGGAAAAGGCAGGGGACACTGACAGCCTTGTCATTCTGTGCTGAGAGGGGAGAAGATGCTGCTGGCCACGGGGTGAGCTCGACTGAAACTAACCCAGTGTGCCCAAGCCACTGAAAAATCATCTGGGCTGTCCTTCATAAACCCTGAACCACACTGAAGCAGGCAGCCAGTCAATGAAGCCTTCTTAATCTTAGTGCTGCTGATGCTGCAGCAGTGAGGTTGTAATCATTAATGATGCTGCAACATCATTAAGGATTTTTCAAGGCAGTATCTGGTCAATAAACTAAGAAAAAAAAAAAAAAAGAAGATTCCTCTCCTTCTCCCAGGAGTGTTCATGCTATTCATTTGCTTCACAGCAATTCTCCTCCTGTTACAGACACGGAGGCAAATTAGCAGAGGCAGTTCCCTGGAGCACCAGCCAACCTCTTCCCACAGAAGTGCTTCATGTTGTTCTTCCCTGGAATACAGCTTTTGCACAACACCAGGCTCTAACACAAGGAACATGGGTTCCCTCAACCCCCAGAGATGCCCTTTAAACCCAACTCCTCCTCTTGCCAGGGTCTGGTCCTGCTGGGAGTGTTTGGAGACCAGGCCCCCGTGCTTTCCCACAGGAAGCATCACTCTCACCCACTCCCTGGGCTCTGAGAGCTCCTTCTGCCTATTAACTCCCACTCTAAAACATGTAGTTCCCTGTGAAGGAAGATGCATTTGCCTGTCAGAAAGCTTAATTAGCCCAAATGGAAACCGTCCTCCCCATCATCCTCCTCGGTCTGATCTCCAGCTAAGAAGCAACGGTGTAGTTCAGTTTATTTTGATTTAGGCTCTTGATTAGTGACAAATGACAAACCTGACTACACTGCTTACTCCTTTTGCTACAGGAAAGGTCTGTGTTTCAGCTTTACACAAATGACAGTCAAGTTTTATGATCCATAAAACAGAGTTGATGTCACCACCAGAATGTCCTGTCTCTTCACTGGCTTCGCTTCCCCTGCTGAAATATAAATAACTTTTATCCCTCAAAGGTCACAAGTCTACAGGAAAACCAATGCAAGAATTCATGGTTCTTTGCAGTAGAGAGCCCAACTACAAATGAATCACACCAAACAGCACAGCTGGAGTGTCCTTTCTCAGGGCACTAGTGTGTAGTGGACACCACACACCACTCACTGCTCTGTGTGCACTCACCTCAATTGTATCTTTCAAATCTACAACACTTTTCCAGGATCAAATCCTGGAAACACCACACAACACGAACACCACACAAGCTGCAAGTGCTCAGAGGGGATGGGTGTTTTATGGCTCTCAGAACTGAGTGCCTGGAAATGAGATGCTATTCACTCTGTAATTTTCCATTTTTGACTGAGACTTTCTTCTTTTCTAACCTTCATGTCCCCCATTGCAACCTCACTTCCAGCTGAGCAGCCTGCTGAGCTCGCTGGTTAGAAACACATTTGGTTTCTCAGCACACCAGCTAACTCCTAGGTCTTTGATCATCTGCAGTTGGGCTGCAGCTGCTTTGATCAGAAGTAAGCTTTTCTTGATCACACTACATGAATAGAAAAGCCCAAGACTTCAATCCTGCCTTCAAATGACGCTTGGGTTGAGACACTGATTAGTCTGATATGTTGAACAAAGGTTTTAAAATATAATTGAGTGTAATGGTCAGGCATCTTTTAAACAAGATTTAACATCTTTCCCCCCACAGAAGCTGCCTTCCCATTCATTTTTCTCGCTCATGCAGTGCCAGTACTCGACATTGTTTGCCGTGAGGCTGCAGAGCATTGCAGGAAGGATTCCACCTACCCTGCAGGAAAAACAAAGATCTTTCCAAAAATATACATTATCCAGTGACTAAGAAATGAGAATAAATGAACCAAGCCCTGCAGGCTTCCACTAAATACTTATTAAGAGTGCT